GTGGTTGCTGTTGTGCTCATTTTTTTTTGGTTGTCCATGGTGCAGGCTCTACTATGCTAAAATAGGAATAGGAACACCTTCCAAGGATTACTATGTGCAAGTTGATACAGGAAGCGACATAACATGGGTCAATTGCATCCAATGCCACGAATGCCCCAAAAGGAGCTACCATGGTGTATGATCCTAATATTCTTCTTTGCTATATTTTTTTTTGTACATTTGATGAGATATAATGCACTTCACAAGGATGCCTCATTTTTTTTTTATTTACCAGATTTGTTTTCATGTTTTGTTTTCTGTGATCCTAACATTTCCTATGTGAGTGGCATTAGTAGCATCTCCATTAGGTAGTCTAATGGGATGCGAAACCTCAGATTTTACTTCTGCAAGGAATGAGATAGAGCAGACCATATGGTCAGTAGCTCCAGTATCTATGATCCAAGGGATAGATAGAGTCATTCTATCTTCATTATTGTGAGTAGATAGGCATATATAAGTACCAGATACTTTTGAGTACATCAGTGTGTCTGGTGGAGGAAGAATTTGAAGCATGGCTAGCAGAAAGGGAATGTGAATGGTTGGTTGATGGTTTGAGCAAAGCCATAGTTAGGTGTACTGCTCTTGGGTTAAAGAAACCTGGTTCCCGTCATAGACTTGCTCCTGTGAAGTTCTTATAGTATCTGTACTTTGATCAGCAACAGCAGCATTTGTCTTAATTTTTCCATAGTATTTGTGGCCTGGGGGATAGCTATGAATCTTAAAACAGTTGCTGATGGTGTGTCCTGGCATCTGGCAATGTGTGCACATTGGTTTATCCTTGTTGGCCTTAAAACACCTCTCAAGTGAGTGTCCAGAAATTTTGCAAAACGTGCAGAAGTATTTCCTTTGAGTTCCAAGATCTTTCCTCTCTGTTTCCCTCAGAGTATTTCTTCTTACCATTATAGCCATTCCATCAGAAATAAGCACATCAGCAGTGATGTCTCTCATCTTCTCCTCCTGCTGTACAAAAGAATAGACCTCATTCAGCTTCGGAAAAGGTTTTATCAACAGAATCTGAGCCTTAATGCTCTTGTAAGAGTCATTCAGCCCCATGAGAAACTTCATCGCCCAATCTCTTTCTTGGTTACTGATCACGGCCTGTAGACCTCCACAAGTGCAATTAGGAATTGCCTCATAGTTCATAAGTTCATCAAGCAATATCTTCAGTTTTGAAAGATATGTGCTGAAAAAGTCCTGCCCCTGCATCAATGTTATTATTCCTTGCTTCACTTCAAAAAATTTGGGAGCATTTTGCTGAGCCAGGTGTTGCTCTAATTCCAGCCAATGTTCGTGCGTTGTCTCCGCATAGAGTGTACTAGCTTTGATGTCAACTGTCATGGTGTTTTGTAGCCAAGTGATGACTATGTCATTACATCGAAGCTAATGCTCCATCAGTGAGTTATCAATACCAGTAGGCTCACAGATGCTTCCATCAAT